GGCTACTGCCAAAATAAGTCCCTCGCGGCCTTTATTTATTTATTTATTTTTTTTTTGAAAAAAACTATGTTTTGAATTGTATTTTTTTTTTTTTTGAAGAATGTGCGATTAAAAATGTAGGAAAAAGGTTTCGGGTTTAAGTGTAAAATATTTTATTGTGTGAATGCGTGGTAAAAATGAATATGAAAAATAAATTAAAGAAAAGTAAATTGAATCAATCGGGGGCTAATTGAGATGTCTCGACTTCTTCACTCCTACTAGTATACATATAGACCCTATTTGAGCTTCATTAAAAATAGGTTTCGGACAAAAATATTTTGAAATAGTGATTTGTTAAAGATTGAGTGATTGAAAAATAAGAAAAAGTTTTGAATTTATTTTATTGAAAAATGTGTGGTTAAAAATAAGAAAAGACAAAAAAGCAACGTGACATGAAATGGAAATGGGGAGAATAAATCTTGAAGACATTCATTCAGAGACGAATATATTCATGGTTGATACTTAGTGGCACTAGAATTTATAAGAGACGATGCAATAATTGAGCCAGTGATTTATATCAAAATCCTGCAAAATTGTGTGTGTGAATTTATAAAATTTTGGATAATGAATGAGAGACATTTCAAACCCCTCACAACGATTTTAAACTTCAGGAAAATTGCGTTTTGTTTGTGTATGTGGTTGTGGATAGCGTACAATTCACGTGACACAATTAAATCTTTTATTCAAAATTAATTGAAATTTCATCGTAAAAATCCTCAAATTCTCTCTATTTATAACCCCCTCAAGGCATCCACATTGCAACAACTCTCTTTCTTCAACTTACGTTCCCTCGTATAGATCCTATTCTTCCACAAACAATGTTCAGACATCATTGTCTGACTCAAAACCAAAAATCATGGCATGCTTTCGCAGCAAACACTCTTCTTCAGGGTTTCTNGGCTACTGCCAAAATAAGTCCCTCGTGGCCTTTATTTATTATTATTATTTTTTTTTTTTGAAAAAAACTATGTTTTGAATTGTATTTTTTTTGAAGAATGTGCAATTAAATAGTTTATTGTGTGAATGCGTCGTTAAAAAAGAATATGAAAAATAAATTAAAGTAAAGTAAATTGAATCAAACGGGGGCTAATTGAGGTGTCTCGACTTCTTCACTCCTTCTACTAGTATACGTATAGACCCTATTTGAGCTTCATTAAAAATAGGTTTTGGAAAAAAAAATATTTTGAAATAGTGATTTGTTGAAGATTGAGTGATTAAAAAATAAGAAAAAGTTTTGAATTTATTTTATTGAAAAATGTGTGGTTAAAAATAAGAAAGAGAAAAAACTAACGTGACATGAAATGGAAATGGGGGAATAAATCTTGAAGACATTCATTCAGAGACGAATATACTCATAATCCTGCAAAATCGTGTGTGTGGATGTAGACAACCAAATGTTTTGGATAATGAATGTGATATGTTTGTGTTAAGAAGTCGAGTTAGCAATACAAATTATGAGGATAAATAAGTTGTAAGGGGATATAAAAATTTTGGGTGATAAGGTCGTGAATCCTCAAAATGATTTTAAACTTTAGGAAAATTGCTTTTTGTTTGTGTATGTGATTGTCGATAGCGTACAATTCACGTGACACAACTAAATCTTTTATTCAAAATTAATTGAAATTTCATCGTAAAAATTCTCAAATTCTCTCTATTTATAACTCCCTCAAGGCATCCACATTGCAACAACTCTCTTTCTTCAACCTACATTTCCTCGTATAAATCCTTTTCTTCCACAAACAATGTTCAGACAACATTGTCTGAATCAAAACCAAAAATCATGGCATGCTTTCGCAGCTTACACAGAAGACCCAAAGAACGAAAAGTCGCAATCATGGCCATCGATCAAGGCTGATGAAAACGTCTCTAACAATCATACGTGGCAAGAAGCCTTCGAAGTACTTGGATTGAGCTGGAATTCTGATGGCACATTGAATAGAGAAATTCTAATCCCTATGGTGAATGCGACCCCTTCTGTTACTGACCCGGATAACCCTCCTGTAGCGCTCTCGAACGATGTATTGCTCAGCGATATGAGCAAAGCCTATGTCCGCATCTATATACCAGTCAACCCCCCAACAGACACCAAGCTGCCACTCATTATCTACTTACATGGAGGTGATTTTGTGATATACAGTGCATCGACTGTCATTTTTCATAACTTTTGTAATGATATTGCGTCGCAGTTCCCTGCGGTGGTGGTATCTGTCGAGTACCGGCTGGCCCCCGAAAACCGCCTCCCGGTAGCTTATGATGATGCCATAAATGCTATCTTTTGGATTAAGAACCAAGCACTAGGTATTGGGGGGCGTGATCCATGGCTAGACTA